GCCGCGCCAGCTGCTGCCATCTGTTCCGCTCGTCTTCTCTCCCTTTCCCGTTGCGGAAGGCAGTGCACTTGTGTGTCTCACCGTACGTCAATGCCCATAAAAAACGCCACGCCGCGCCGGATGTGAGTTCTCGACCTGCAAGCCAGCCAGGTCAGAGACGCGTCGCCGTGGAGGGCTCGGACAAGCAAAACTAATCGGTGGCGGTGTACACGGTACACATAGCCATCGGTGGCCATTCGTGTTCCACGAAGCGATGCGGTGCTATTTTACTGTACTTTTTTGGCCGGAGTAGCACTGTAGCAGTGCTATAATTTTCTACGAGGCGTCAAGTGGTGTACTCCATCCGACTGCCATTTCTCTTGCATTTTTAAAATAACTGATCGACACGTACGGCATACCTAAAAATTTAAGCAACGGCAGCTGGAGCTGGAGATACGATGAGACCGCCGGTCCTTGTTTACCCGTGCCGGTCCTGCCCAGCAACAACAGCCTAAACAAACAACAGCGACTACAGGACAGGTAAAACGGAGGAGAGATGCAATGCATATGCGAAAGTGCACTGCACACGATGCTCCACACGCAATTCACGGCCGATGCCTGCTTTGAACTGCGGTGATTAGCTAAATGATGCAAGCTAATGGCGGGTGTGATCTGGCAGTCGGGTGCCATTCGTATAGCAGTGTTCATACATATATGTACTCACTTCTGTTGGGCTAATAAGTCTGGTCTATGGATCTCGATGTAATTTTTATTATTTCCGGTGTTCGTTGTATTGCCATGATTGAAGATGAATAGATTGAAAATTTCTCGCAAAAAAAAAAGACTGGCATATGGATTTTCAAGTCTTCAATTTGACTAATAAAACATGTATAAAAAGATGTACTAATGGCTTCGGCGAGCCCGGAAGGTAAGAGAGAGGGAGGGGGTCTTTTTCCTTTTTTTTTCTTCTTCTGAGGGAATATAGGAAGGAAGGGACTATTTGCTCGTGTCAATTTGGGAAGGGAGCTCTATGCATTCTTGGGCGAGCCTAAAAGAGCAGGAGTCGCTAAAATAAGCACATTATGAAATAAGCAACGGGGTACCTATTTTTTGGACTCCTCTCTCTCTCTCTTTCTCTCTCTCTCTCTAGCGCGACACGCATGTGCGCTAACCCCAGACGCATGACAAAACTCCGACTTCCCTTTCACTTTATTTTCCTTTTCGGTGTGCGGCTCTCTTCCTCTCGTTTCATCCATGCCCCGAAATAGCTCTTTTTATTTTTGTAGGGACGACTCACATTGCTTTCACCACTCTGTTGCTTTCCGATCGAGAGACATCATTCATCGTCAATGGCTTTAGATAAGTTATAAGTTATCGAGTTAGCAGTCAGGGTGAGTTGAAAAGTTTGAACTTTCAAGATAAAAAGTTGAAATCCTCGAGGGTCGTATTTTGAAGTTTTGGAAGTGGAGCTACTTAAAATGAAAACCCGTATATACAAGCTTGGAGGAGGGAAGACGCAAATCACTTGATTTTGACTATTTTGCTAAAAAATCAAATTTGGTTCAAAATTTCATATTTATCAAAATACCCAAAAAATAGTGAATACTACGTGCACCCAATTGTAATTTGGGAAATTTTGAGCCTATTTGGAAATAGTATTGGGAGATGTTGACAATTTTGCTAGAAAGATTCAAATTTGGTTTAAATTTGAAAATTTTCACAAACAGCCAGTAAATATCCTGTAGTAACATTGGAAATCTTGAGCTTATTTGGACAACAGGAT